GCGATCTCCTCTCCTATGACCCTACGCCTCTCGTTGTCAAAGCGTTGCAGGCGTTGCTTGACGGGCTTTGAGCTTGGGACAATGCGTAGTGCATGCTTGGCGACCTCTCTTGGTATGCCTGGCATGTCGGAAGGCTTCCACGCGAAGACATCGTGATTTGCGCGTAGAAAGTCGGCGAGCTCGCTTTCCTATTTGGTCAAGAGCTTGGTCTCGACCCAAACCGTCTTGGTTGGGTCGGTGGGGTCGATCTCCAGCGCCTTGGTTTCCTCGGTCGGATGGAAGGCACTTGAGGAGGTTGGCTCGTTGCAGTCGGGGACTGCTGGAGTCATAGAATTCCCGAGCTCCGGGAGCTCGGTGGAGTTGATGACGGTAGTGGCGAGCTCGTAATGCTCGTGATCGCACGTGTAGGCGTGCGAAAAGGAGCTACCCACGGTGATGACGCTGTTTGGTCCTGACATCTTCAGCTTGAGGTAGGTGTAGTTGGGGATCGCCATGAACTTGGCATAACATGGCTGCCCCAAGATGGCATGGTAGGATCCTAAAAAGTCCACCACCTCGAAGGTCAGGACCTCCGAGCAGAAGTTGGCTCGGTCACCAAATGTGACGGGTAGGTCAATCTACCCGAGTGCATATGCCTGCGTCCCTAGGATCATGCCGAGGAAGGGAAAGCTCACTGGGCGGAGCTTCGACCAGGGGATGCGCATGACATCGAGGGTGTTGACATAGAGAATATTGAGGCCATTGCCTCCGTCCATCAACACCTTGGTGAGGTGCTTCTTGAGGACGATGGGGTCGACGACGAGCGGGTAGTGACCCAGTCGGGTGATGTGGGAAGGATGGTCTCTCTGATCAAAAGTGATCGGGGAGTCTGACCAGCTAAGGAAAGAGAGGATGGCCGACTCAGCAGCGCATGCCTCTCTATAGCGTACCATATGCTGGCGCTTGGAGTGGATGGCATCGAATCCCCTAAAGATCATGAGGCATTTCTCGGGGTCAGGGAAGCCATCTTCATCCTTGCCCGCCGTGCCTCCCTTCTTGGCCATGTCCTCCTTGCCTTTCCCTTCCTTTGGCTTGCTGGCATGCCGAAGGAAGCGCTTGAGGAGCTCGCAGTCCTTGTAGAGTTGTTTGACGGGAAATGCGTGGTTGGTGCATGGACTCTCCATGAGCCTATCAAAATGGTTGGCCTGGCCCTAGGGCTGCTTGACCACGCGGTCAGCCGCGGCGACCAAAGCTGGGTTGGCCGGTCGACATCGATCCTTCTTCTTCTTCTTGCCCCTTTGTGTGGAGGGACCCTCGCCTTGGTCCTCGCGTTTGGCCTTGCCCCTGTCCTGACCGCTACTAAAGACCGCCCCGACCACCTCCTCGCTAGAGGCATGGTTTGTGGCGATGTCAAGCAGGTCACGGGTGGTACGGGGCTTCACACAACCGAGCTTATGGATCAGGGACTTGTAGGTTGTCCTAGAGAGGAACGCGCTGACGATGTCCGCGTCGACGACATCAGGAAGGGAGTTGCACTGCTTTGAGAACCTGTGGATGTAATCCCGCAAGGATTCGTTGGGCCCCTGCTGGTAGCTCTTGAGGTCCCAGGAATTCCTAGGACAGACATAGGTCCCCTAGAAATTTCTGATGAAGACCCTCTTGAGATCTGCCCAATCACGGATGTCGTCGGGCGAAAGGAATTCGAGCCATGCTCAAACATGCTCCCCCACATAGATGAGGTACTGGATGATGAAGTAATCATCATCCACTCCTCTAGCTCGGCAGGCGAGCCGAAAGTCTTTGAGCCATATACCGGGGTTCGTCTCACTGATGTACCTGGCGATGTTGGTGGACGATCGGAAGCGCTGTGGGAACGGTGCTTTCTAGATACGGCGATCGAAGGCCCATGGCCTCGGGCCATCGGGGCTGGGGCCCCGGTCGTTCGGTCGGCCGCCATGCCTAGGGTGCATGTCCCCGCACTCCTCGATGGTCAGGCCAGGGCCCACACCGCCTGCTCTCGCCGCCACTCGATGGACGTCATCATCGTACCGAGCATGGCGTCGATTGTTGATGACGCTGCGAGCATCATGGTTCGGCCTGAGCCGTTTGCGCACAGGTGGTCGGTGTGGAGCAGGCGCCGGGTCAGGCTGTGGTATAGCCGTGGCTTCCTGCCCCACGCCTGGCAACTATAGTGGTGAGTGGATGGAGCGATTCGACTGGTGTGGCCCCAGTCCCCTAATTGGGCAAGAGGCCATGAGCCGGTGTCGCGACACGGAGCTCTCCGCCTGCTGAATGGCGGTGGTCTCCACTAGCGCCTGGAGGTTCCGGTGGATTGCCTGTTCCAAGGGGTCAGCAGGCTCGGGGAGGCTATGCAGAAGCGTCGCCGCAGCAGCGATGTTTTGGCCAGCCCGAGCAAACTGAGGGGGGTCGTTTCCTCCATCCAGGATGTTACGCTGGACCTCACGCGCGTGACCCCATGCGCCACTCACCGGGTTGCGCTCATGTGGTGCAGCGTGCTGCACCGAACGCGCCAGCGCAGGTGGTGGCCGGCTCTGCCGTCTTTGTCATAACTCCTCGCCGTGCTCCTACGCACATGTCAGGGCCTGCGCATGGGGGTCCAGAGGGGTGTGAGTCTACTGAGACTCCACTACCACCGGTGGCTATCCTAGGGCGTCCGCCATAGCGCACTCTCAGGATAGAGGGTGGCCAGATACCATGACGTCGCCGATGCTAGAGCCGTCGCTTTCGATCTCGTCATCGACGAGGTCATGGAAGGAGGCGGGAGCGTAGCCCGCCATCCCCATGAACTCGGATGCGAGAGGGGGCAGCATCAACATCCTTTGGAGCCCCCGTGTACACGCGTCCACGGGGGACGCGAAGCCATTAGGGAACCGGTCGTACGGCGTTTGTGACGAGGACAACGGGGTCCCTCTGGAGAGTCGACGGAAGGTGTTAAATAGTGAGTGAAGAACAATATGTACATCACTCATCGTGGGGTTTGAGCCCAGGATGGGCTCGAGGTGAAGCGTGAGTGTCTCAACGTTGGGGTCGTCGAGTGGCCCGGGGCTGGTGGAGGGCGCTCCTCCTCTAGTGGGCGCCATGACAAGTGCCTCCTTGTGGTGGCGGAGTACGCCGAGCTGGTCGGTGATGAAGTCCAGACTCCTGAAGAGGAAGGTCTAGAGTGGCACGAAGACAGGAGAAACCCACATCCCAGCAAGCGGGAGCGTGGGAAACTCCAGCGAACCGAAGCAAATCGTATCGCTCGAGCCCGCCATGCCAAAGATGATGGAAAGATGGGTCATCTGATGACCAAAAGCGTGAACCATGGCGTCCTCCCCACGGACGGCGCCAACTATCGGTGCGAAAAGTGACCAACAAGTAAATATCTGTAGTTTTGCCATACGTTGTGATCGGATGTGGCCTAGCACTCAATGACATAAGATTTATACTGGTTCAGGCAACGTGCCCTACGTTCAGTTTCAGTCGGTCGATGACTTTATTCCTGAGCTCAGGTGCTCGAAGTTTGCTATGGAGTTACAAACTAATAGGAATGAGAATAGGGGTGTTAGAGGCCCGGTCGAACTCAAAGCGAGTGGCCAAGAGTGACTGGGGCTCTAACGTATGCTAAGTATTGGAGAGTATGCTCTGTGTGTCTCTAGAGCTTGTTGAGCTATTGCGTTCTCGAGTCATCGAGAGAGTCTTCCAGAGAGAAGTAGCCAGCCTCCTTTTTCAGGAGAGAGCGCATCCCCTTTTATAGTTGAAAGGGATGGCCTTACAAGTCAGAGAGAAAGAGAGAAAATGTATACGTGTGCTGCCTAGTCTTGTTGCTCATGCCATCGGGTATGGGATGGCTGCCAGCGCCCACAATACTATTTATGCCCAAACGCGTCTGGCGGGCTCTACCGTGTTCGCCTGGTATGACAGACATCGACGCCCCACAATACTGTTTGTAGTCTGACGCGTCTATAAGGTTGTATAGTGTCCCTCTGTCATGAACTGGAGGCACCGTCTTGCAGGTGCGCTGGGTATGGTAGGGTACGATCCTTGGTATTGCGGTTGACTTAAGCACCTTACCTTATCTGCTCCGCCTGCTCCCCAGGCCCACACCGAGCGGGCGTCCCTGGTCGGTCGTTCCCAGTCGTCCCCGACCATGTGGGTCGAGAAAGAGCAGCGAGCAGAGGTCCGGCGTATCCTTAGTCGAAGAAAGGGATCGGGCGAGACGGAGCCCGCGACCCAGAGGTCGGGCGAGGCGGGGCTTGCCCCCAGAGGTCGGAGGTGTCGGTCGATGATCGGATCGTGGTCTTGGTCTGTTATTGTGTATCTGGACCAGCCCAGGCGTGTGCTGTCGTTGCGCCGCCTGCTGGGCCGAGTTTTATAGAAAAGCGGGTCTATTGGGGACCACGGGTTTATGAACCCGACACAACGTTTTTTCATCGTTGCCCAAGGGTTAAAAGTTAGTACGAGTGGTTCCAAATAATTCTTGGGGATGTCTAGTATATATGCTTGACTAATTCTCCTTATTACAAGTGGATGGCATGTATGTAGGCACCAAGCGGTGACACCCAAAAATAATGGTTATAACTAGTGCTTCATATATATTATATGCATCTCGTTCATTTTTATTAATCATGTCTTAGAATGCATGTCCAAGAATAGGAGGACTGGATCAAAAGCTGTGGCCGCATTAATCCATGACCGGGATGCTAGACGCCGATACTGGGAACCATCCACACAAGTGTCAAGTATTGCTCGTCGATTTCTCATGACACAATTGCGCCTAAAATGTCTATATATAAATACTTCACCGGACACACGTTACTCAACACAAGACATCTCATTGTTTATTATTAGAGATATATTGAGTAGGACACTACTCATCAGATTCATCACATACACATACATATATGTAATCAACCATGAAAGGAAGTTCAGACATCACACTTGCTCACGTTATTCGATTGATGCTTGCCTTTCATATATCAAGGTATAAAAAAGTATAAAGGTAGCCTTTGCTAGGCAACCTAGCCAATAGTCAGAGCCGCAGCCTGGGCATTATTGCCATACATAACATACGGAGCCGGCCAACAAATGGTATTTTTATTGTTTTCGTCGAACTTGTAGAAGACAATAAGACGTACCCATCCTGGATCGATTGGAGATGGGGGGTAGTCCATTGGATATACGTTTGCATCTCTTATTTCTGGCCTTTCATTAAGCATCAGGTTGATATTTTCCGGAGTAATCTCCTCGCCAACCATGTGTTCCCATACTTCTCTAGGGGCAGGGGCAGCCATGATCATGTACTATCCTTAGCTTTTCTCCCTTTTGTAACTATTATAACACCAATAAGAATTAATAATCGAGCAACATTGATATAATCAAATGGAAACATAACATGTCGTTTCGAACTAATGCTATCATACTTTCATACTAAGCAGATGTCTTAATCGAAACCGAGCAGCAAACAGTCCCCTGAAATGTTAAAAGGAAAATTTTTGAAAGCAATAACTAACAAATAAATACATGACAACTTCCGGAGAAGAAGACGACGCAGTAGCCTATGGTGATGATACCTGCTCTAAGTATATGTTTGTATATATACACACAAACATTTGTATAGTAGCTTGGCTTTTCTCGGTGAAAACAATGTAAGTGTTTTGTCTACTATTAATTAGGAAACACCATCATATTGTATAGTAGCTTGGCCAATAACGATAGTTATCGATCATCACAATGCATGTAGTCTGCTCACTTTGACAAAGTAAACATCATGACGTGTAGTAAACACACTACCAGATACAGGATCTTTGCCAAGTGCCAGGGGCACTCGGCGAAGTCCCAAAAACACTCGGCAATTGGTTTGCCGAGTGTTACACTCGGCAAACGACACTTGGTAAATGTTTTATCGGCAAACACTAGTTTGCCGAGTGTTTTTTGTCGAGTGCCCAAAAAACACTCGGCAAACAATTTTTTTGAAAAAAAAAACAAGCCGCCGTCTTCTCCTCGCCGCGCCGCCACCACGCCGCACCACCACCACACCGCACCACCACGCCCAGGCCGGATCCGGCCTCCCCGTGCGCCACCGTCGCCAGATCCGTCCGCCTACGCCGGGGTTGGATCCGGCCTCCCCGTGCGCCACCGTCGTCGGATCCGCCCGCGCCGGGGCCGGATCTGGTGGAGGCGGTGGAGGAGCGCCACCGGTAGATCCGCTGCTCGCACAGGGAGAGGGAGGGAGGTGCGCCGTGCGCAGGGAGAGGCAGGGGGAGCGCCGCCATGCCGAGAGAGGAAGGGGGAGGGCGCCACCGCCGAGAAAGGGAGGGGGAGGGCGCCGCCGCGCTGGGAGAGGGAGAGGGAGGAGGAGGGAGGGGCGCCACCCAGCCGGGAGGGAGAGGGAGGAGGGGAGGGAGGGAGGGAGGGGGGGGAGGCCTTGGCTACTGGGAGAGGGGAGGGAGGAGGGAGGAGGAGGGAGGGGGGGGCGGCAGCCACGCCTCGGGGAGAGGGAGGGGAGGAGCGCTGCAGGAGGAGAAGAAGAAGGGGAGGGAGGGCGGCGTCGTTGAATTAAATATAATTTTTTCTTTGCCGAGTGTTCAGATCTGGGCACTCGGCAAAGTTTTTTTTTATTTTTTTTCTTCTCCTTCTTTCCCAGAAAAAGATTTTATTTCTTTACCGAGCGTCCTAGATCTGGGCACTCGGCAAAGTTTTTTTTTTCATTTTTTTTCTTCTCCTTCTTTCCCAGAAAAAAAGATTTTATTTCTTTGCCGAGTGTCCTAGATCTGGGCACTCGGCAAAGTTTTTTTTTTTTTTGTTCTTCTTCTTTCCCAGAAAAAAAGATTTTATTTCTTTGCCGGCAAACCTCCTGTTTGCCGAGTGTTTTTTTTGACACTCGGCAAACCACCTGTTTGCCGAGTGTTTTTTTTTCCAAGTGTTTTTAGCGCAGCACTCGGCAAAAAACTTGTTCGCCGAGTGCCCGACGGAATACACTCGGCAAACATAAAAACACTTTGGCAAATTTAAAGTTTCCGGTAGTGACGTCATCATATATATTATCCTTTATTGTTGAGATTATCGGCTGCAGCTGTGCTACTAATTGTCTATTCTGTTCCTTTGTTGGCAGGGAGACGGTTGAATGGGCCATAGTTTACAACGTCCGTGACTCAAACCATGTACACCGTCATAGATGATTTCCATAATAGTAACTAACCTACAGTGGAAATTGGTGTTAATCACGTTTACATTTTATAACCTCTTTGTTATTTGCTCCCGTATGTTGTGTAACTGCGAGGTTTTTCTCTGACGAATAAACATGTTTGCCACAGGCTGTTTTTGACATGTATGAACGTATGTGTTGTACTGATTCACATGAAAAAAGGTATAACTTTGTTCGCGCCCTAAAATTACATGCTCGGAGCTCATGCATTTGGCTAAGTTCCACCAAAGAAACAAAGATACCCTTGGAACAGTATTAAAATGAGGCCAACTTGCATGTTGGAGTTCACCGTAACATAGCCCTCGTCAAGATAATCAAAATGGACATGTGGATCGTCTAATTTGGAGCCGAAAAAAATAGCTACAATGCTCGGAATATCACAAAGCTGGAAAAATAGCTACAATGCTCGGAATATCGCAAAGCCGGTACGCACCTGGATGACGTAGGAGGCAGGAGGACGACGACTAGCGGCATGCCCGTCTCATTGTGTTGAGTCTGAGAGTCTTGTGGCTAGCAAGCCTAAAGAGTAAGGCAGGCATGGGCTGGAAGGGCTTAATTGGTTTGCTCGTGGCTGGAGGAGCTGCCTGCTTGAAGCTAACCGACCTGGCTAGGCTTGCATGGGCAGCAACAGCAGCAACAGTGATGAGTTGCCGGCTACTAAGCCGTCGCGGCCACGGGAACGGTTCCCGCCTCCAAAGTGGGAGGACCACATCACGATGCTAAGCATCGACGCACTACTGAAAAACTGTACTTTGCCGAGTGCCTGAGACTTTGCCGAGTGCTTTTTATCGGGGCACTCGGCAAAGCAATATTTTACCGAGTGCCGCACTCGGCAAAATAAAGCACTCGACAAAGGTGGCTTTGCCGAGTGCCAGGCACTCAGCAAAGCCTGGCTCTCGGCAAAACTGGGCTTTGCCGAGTGCCGCGGCACTCGGCAAAAGTCCCACTCAGCAAAAGGTGGCCGGCCCGTGACGGCAGCCACCTGCCGTCAGATTTTGCCGAGTGCCTAACGGGTGGCACTCGGCAAATTTTTTTTTATTTTTAAAAACTTATTTTGCCGAGTGCCAGCCCCAGGCACTCGGCAATTTTTTTAAAAAAACATATTTTGCCGAGTGTCAGCCCATGGCACTCAGCAATTTTTTTTTATTTTTTAAAACTTATTTTGCCGAGAGCCAGACCCAGGCACTCGGCAATTTTTTTTTATTTTTTAAAACATATTTTGCCGAGTGTAAGCCTTGGGTACTCGGCAATTTTTTTTTAATTTTTTAAAACTTATTTTGCCGAGTGTCGGTAGCCGGGCACTCGGCAAATTTTTTTTTTTTGAAAATCAACTTTTGTTGAAAGTGCCCCCATGGCACTTTCGGCAAAAATTTTTTTTATTTTGGGCCCAAATTTCTTTACGGGGCCTTGTGTGATATTTCAAACTCTATTTTAAAATTTGGGGCAATTTTGACTTTTTTGATATATTTCATTAGTTTATTTCGTTTAAATTCGAAATTTTTGGGATATCTTTACATTTGAACTGCAATTACATGGAGATAATGGACTTTGGTGCATACCATGATCACAACTATGTTTAGGCCGTAAACCATGAAATCTCGAATTTTGTTAACACAGCCTCCACATGCGATAAATGTGATGCCTTAAGTTTCGTGATTTCGGACTTCGCTTGCATTTTATATAATTTAAAATCACATTTCGATAAGTACTCGACATGTTACGCCAACGAGATGCTCGAGATTTCATGTGAGTTCCCGGATACGGCCTAAACATAACCTAAATATCATGAGTATCAATTTTGGATGACCAAAGTCCATTATTCCAAGTACCTGCAGTTTAAATTTGAAATATCCCCAAAAATTCGATTTAAACTAAATAAACTAATGAAATATATCAAAAAAGTCAAAATTGCCCCAAATTTTAAAATAGAGTTTGAAATATCGTCACAAGTCCAAAAAAAAAAATTTGGGCCCAAAATAAAAAATATTTTGCCGAAAAGTTATGGAGGGCACTCGCAGCAAAGTTGATTTTAAAAAAAATTGCCGAGTAAAAGCCCCACGGCCAAACCCTTGCTGCCCAACCCTAAAAACGCCCCAGCCACGCCCGCTCGCTCGCGCCCACCACAGCCGCCGCCCTCGTGCCCGCGTGCGCGCCGCGCCCTCCGCCCGGCCTGCGCACATGACAGCGCCCCGTCGCCCGCCCACCCTCACAAGACATCCCCGGACGGCCGCTAACAGCTCGCGATGATGATGGGCGTCAGGCGTGGTCTTCCCTTGGCGCCATACAAGCCATTCGCTACCAAAGCAGGCAAGCAGAGTCAGTACCTGCACCACCCCGGCCAGCACTTCAACGTCCAGAGCAACGATCAAGGTGCACAATGCCCAGTAGCCGGCAGCCGCTCGACGAAATGCCTTGAAGGCAAGCAGTTCACTGCAGCAATGCTGTTAGATGAAGACTGTTCCTGCTACAAGTCATCTTCTCTGTAAGTAGTGTGTCCGTTTGTTTTTTTTTCAGATGCATGCAACCTATGTGGAGCATTTGCTATTCATTAAAAACCCTTCTAAGGAGTGCCAAGTCCGTTAATGCGCTTAAGCTCTTGGCTGTTCGCTAAGCAACAATTTGAGTTCACTCTCACTTGCTTTAGATTAGCAGTGAGATTTATTTGCTTGCCCAGTAATAATCCAGAAGATTTTTTAGTCATCTTGTTTTCTTATGAACTGGTGAACTAAAAAAACATATGAATTATCAATTACTCACCTGCGAATGTATTAATATTCAAAACAATTTGTTATTTCGTTGGTTAGTTCTCAAGTTTTCAGACACGTAACCTTCATCTAAATGGTTTGTTTCCTGTTAATCTTCTTGCACTATTTTTTCCCATAATCCCAGTATTATATTGTCGGTCGCTATCAAGTCCACATCAAGCTCCAACTTACCGTACAATGAGATAATACTACGAATGGCAACATAAATCCAGTATCAATGTTCATTCTATAGATCTATGCTGTAACACGATAGGTTTTTGCCTCTGCTATTATAAGGTTGAGGATTTCGCTACAGCAGTCCGCCCACATTATTGTCATATTGAGGTTGTGCCAATAGTTGAATGACTCATCTTCTTCAAAACAATTCAAAAGTAGCTGTACACACAGTAATCCAATTATAGTGACAATAAGAAACATCAGATAAAGTAACAGATTATGCTCAACCACTCATCCAAGTACAGAAACTATTAACAAATGGCATCAATTTGTTACTGCTTTCTTGATCACTTCCTGTGTCTCTTGAGAATCTATGAGCACAATATCTTTTTTGTTTACTGCTTTCTTAGTCACTTCCTTGCGTCTCCTGAGGAACATGCTGCTGCTTGTGGATCATCATAGCAGTATATTCTTTTCCACCTCAAGAATTAAAAGTTCTTCTCCTCCCTCCCCTCAATGCTAAAACTAACTACTGTCCTTTGTATATTTTTTGAACACAATAATATCCTCCATATATCTCCGTGCAAATAAAGTCATCCTTTCTTTATCGATGTCAACCTGGACTCCGCACACAATGTATTCAATGATATATGCCCGTGAGGTAACAGGTCATTATTCTTCTTCTGTTCATGTTTTATAAAATGCAAGTGAACAAGATGTGTTCATATGTACTGGGCTTTAAATATTGATAGATTGATTCGACATTGAGGTAGCTTGAGATCAATAGTTACAAGTGCGATTTGTTCTAACTTCTGAGTGACTCTGCAGCTGCATTGCTACCAAGTTGTAGTAGTGGCTCACTACCATGTGACCCAATAGTGTTACAGAATATAGCTAAAGAAAAACTGATTTTATTCATGTGACTTGATCATAGGCATAGCACCTAAACAATCTTTATGCAGTATAATCTATCTTCGTATTTGTGTAAACTGGTTTTCAGTTATATTTGTCATTTTTTGGTCTACGACTACATTTATGCTTTCCATGAAAAAATGTTAACGTTCATATCTTCTCCATACTGTGCATCCATTTTAGTCACTTGTTTTTGAAGTTAAACTGATAGAATATAATGAGTGACTTCTCTTCACCACTTTTCACTTAATATGAGCAAACTACATAGGTTTTAGGGACATAGGTTGATTTCGTTGCAATTTGCTTGGGAGCTACCAGCATACTCCCCAGCATACAGTGTTCCCACCTTACAGGTTATAGCTGCAGATCTTTGGAAATCAAACTAAATTGCAGCATGGGGGATGAGAACTTTTGAATACTCGAATGACAATAAATTGGTATATCTAATTACTTAAAAGTTCTTACAAAATGTAAGGTACGATTGCTTCTTTCTGTCATATTGGTTCTTCTATTTCAAAATTCACGCATTGCTCTGCACAATGGCTATTACCCAAAAAATTATCTATATCAGTGTCAGCTCGAAATTTAATGGTTTAAGCAATCCATCTAAGACACAAAGGTCATAGTGCTCTACTTTTACATACAGTTAGATGTTCATACTGACTCATTTTGATCTACATTGAATGTGTATAACATATATCATTATCTGAACCATCCACCTCTTCTTTAGATTCTAGAGGCCTCAAATTCAGTTCAATAAGGTGCCTCCTGTAGGTCTGAACTGGCCCGTTGATTTACCTTTTCTGCTATACACTGAACAAACATTAAATTCTAAACTGGCCCAAATCTATGACTGACGGCTGGCGCGGCAACGCCGTGCCCCCATTTCTAGTTTATTTGAAAATGGGCACTTTTTTCCTAGTACTCTGGTTTTCCGCTTGATAGTAGGTACATCGCAGGTAGACAAGATCGTTTCCATTGCACATCATTTTTTTTATTATAAATTTGAAACAAAAATAATAGAAAAGAAGAAACGAGTATATAGAAATCCTAGAAACTTGCTGCTTTGTTGGAACATCCCTGCTGGCAGTTTTGGGCCCTGAAAGTTTTTTTTATTTTTTTTAAAAAAGTACTTTGCCGAGTGCCCCTGCCCAGGCACTCGGCAAAGTATTTTTTTTTAAAAAAAATTCAGAAATTCTTTGCCGAGTGCCTAAACAGGGGCACTCGGCAAAGAAATTATTTAAAAAAAATAAAAAAACTTTGCCGAGTGCCTGGGCAGGGGCACTCGGCAAAGTAATTTTTTAAAAAAAATAAAAAAAAACTTTGCCGAGTGCCTGGGCTGGGGCACTCGGCAAAGTAATTTTTAAAAAAAATAATTTTTTTTTTGCCGAGTGCTGGGTCGGGCACTCGGCAAAATAACCATTAACGGCCGGCGCCGCAACGGCCGAAAATATTTTGCCGAGTGCCGCCCCAAGCACTCGGCAAAATTATTTTTTATTTTGCCGAGTGCCCCGATAAAAAGCACTCGGCAAAGACCCTTTGCCGAGAAAAATTTTGCCGAGCGGACTTTGCCGAGTGCTACACTCGGCAAAGCCTTTGCCAAGTGTAAAAACACTCGACAAAGCCGCGCCCTCCAGTAGTGACGGTGGCGGGATACGCAGGCTGATCCTGTCGGTCATTCTCGCCTCCCTCAAGAAAAGCCTCCAGTTGAGCCACCCTCGCCCTACGTATCTTTGGCATGTGAGAACAACTAGTACCATACCGTTCCCAATTAGGTGAGAGCAACTCCAACAGTCTGTCTATTCTTGTTTTGGAGGCTATTTCAGAACTTGTATCGAAAAAGTAGGCTCCAACATATATTCTTTCTGACTTTTTGTAAAATAGAAAGTTGGCTATCACTTGATTTTTCGTGGCCATAGAAAGCCAACTATTGGCGCTCACTATCTAACTTTGTAAAATAGCAAGGCTGTTGTAGACCTTTTTTTCTGAAGAGTCTTTTTTCTATTTCACAAAATAGCTAAACAATGAAATTTAATTACTAATTTTAGCCATTCTGTTGGAGCAGATCACTATGTTGAGGAAGAGGACAGCCAGATGCACGGATAGCGGACTACTTCGATGTCATCGCGGGGACCAGCACGGGCGGGCTGATTGCGGCCACGCTGACAACGCGAGACAAGACGCCCAAAATTTGCCGCCGAGATCGAGGCGTACTACCGCACAAACGGCCCTAGAATCTTCTCCCCCATGTTGGAGTTCATGCATGTGGTTCAAGGCGTTGAGGCCCCTTTCCTCGGCGTCTTTGTCGTCATCCTGATGCACCACGCCAGCTACGTCAACCCTGGCTGGTCTGGGCTAGGGTTGAGCCTCGCTCGAGGCTGGGGGAGGCCTTTCTAGGCTGTCCAAGGCTCCGATCAGCAGTGCGGTTGTCCGAGGCGAGGTGGACTCCCTGCCTCCATCCGCGGAGGTTCCAGCGACCGTTTCTGCCCCGCGCGAGGGTTTCCCATAGGGAATCCCACGGAGGTGATCGTACAGAGCGAAGGTTCCCATAGGGGGGCGAGAATTAAATGTGAATTAATTGCTTATTAAATTGCCAAAAAAGTCCTCCTGAATACACGGGCGCCTCCGGGTATTTATAGCACATACCCGGGGTTGTGGCAAAATTATAGAAGGGTTGATGTGAGGCCATCAACTATAACACGACGGTCAGGGGCAGAGGGGTAATCCTCCGTATCCCTAACTATCTACCCTACTCCCCTACTGGATGCATAGGACCGCCGCCGCCGCCGCCTTTGGGCTGGCCCTCGCTAGGGCCCGCGCGAGGCCCCCGGGCGCCCCGAGCGTGGGTTTGTCACCCGTTACCGTCCGGCGCCCCTCCCCTGACGACTTCACGGACAGAGGCGTCGGACCCTCGCCCACGATACCTGCAAACACAGAGCACATAGTGAATTGAACCCTAGCGACGGAGGCCGCACTCCGCAGCGAGGGGTGGTCAGATTGCCCAGCGAAGGGTCAGGTGTCATGGAAGGAGCTGCGCCGAGGAGCATCCCCCAACAGTATATACCCTCAAAAGTCCGATTTCATTGGAACCAACTTGTTATGGACGTGTTTTGACTAGACCATGAAAAGGTCCTACTCCGCAAGTTCTCCACCATCTTCGCCGAGCCACATGGCCCGCCGCCTCCTCGCTCCCGTGACCACAACATCACCTTGGAGCCGGGCTCGCAGCCGGTGGACATATGGCTATCCCGACAACCGGCGATCGACTTACAAGGATGAGTTGGAGCGCTAGTGTGCCGCCATGCAAGGATGCAAAACTATTGGGGTATGAATTTTCAACGTCATGTTGTCTATCAACGGGAGGATTGGATCAAAAGCAGCGGCGGCATTAATCCACGTTCGGGATGCTTGATGCCAATATTGGGAACCATCCACACAATTGTGTCAAGTATTGCTCGCCGATTTCTCATGACATAGTTGTGCTTAAAAGGACTATATATAAATACTTCACCGAATATACGTTACTCAACACAAGACATCTCATTGTTTATTATTACATATATTGAGTAGGACACTACTCAATAGATTCATCACAGACACGTACACATCTGAAATCAACCATGAAAGGACTTCAGATATCACACTCCCTGACATTATTCAATTCAGGCTTGCCTTTTGATTTATCAAGGCATAAAAAGTATATCAAGCTAGCATTTGCTATGCAATCTAGGCAGTATACGGAGGCGGGTAAACACAGACGAGTTTCCTGTTATCGTTG